TGTGTGTTAGTATACACAGATGTGAGTTATGTATAACTGAAAATCGCAATTAAGATACAGGTCCAGATAACATTACAATATACCAACTGACCTTACACAAAACTAGAGTGCAGGTAAACAATTATACCCACTAATTATGCTAACAAGGTTTATTTATTGGTTATGTACTACTATTTATAGTTTTTAAATAATTTTCAAATTCTTGTATATTGTAGAAGCAACCTTTGTTCATAATCTTTCTCAGTTCTTTTTTGAAGATTATTACGGACGAACATTTGATATTGTGAGGAAGCAAGTTGAAATAAGAACATCCTCTGTAGATTCCAGTTTTTTTAAAGAATGCGTGATTAACCCTGCCCAGTCGCAAATTTTTAGAATTTCTAGTGGCATACTTTGAAATATCTCCGACTTTCTCAAAGTAATTGATGTTTGTTTTGACATACATTAGGATTTTCATGAGATATATACTAGTTAAAGTAGGGATATTGTTCCGTATGAAAGTATCTCGGCATGATTCGTTATAGGAAAGATCAAATATTACACGAATTATCCAAACAAAACAATTTCATTGATAAAGTTGCGTTAATTTTTCTAACAGTGTTTATGTTGGGTGTCGATGTCGTACTCTTGCATGGGGGTTTCTTGTCACAGCATACTTTCTAATGATTTCTGCATTGTCATCTTTTCTAGCAAACTTCTGAGTAAGTGACGGTAGTCTTTTCCCGATAGGGATAATACCAGTGAGTTGGTATCATTGTTGGTTGGTTGGTATTGTTATTTTCCTTATAGCCGTTGTTTCAGATACTTTAAATATTTTCAAGGCCCTTTGTTTGATATTGAGAAACAGTGGGTGTGAGTATTCAATGAGTGGACGACAGAATAATTTATATATTCGGCTTGCTGTTGATATGTTTGCACCTGCTCCCGGGTTTGTCAAACTTGTGAAATGTGCGGCTCTTGCAATCACTGTCTTTTTTTTGTTATTGACATGGCTGTTGAAATTTAGTCTGGAATCAAGCGTAACACCTAAGTAATCAACTGTCGATTTGGCATGTAAGATGTGTTGGAAAACGTTGATTGTTGGAGAAGCTGCGGAATTTCGATGATTAAATATAATGAACTGAGACTTAGATGGGTTTGGCTGGAGCCTCCATTTATTGAACCAGTTATTTGTTATTGTTACAAGATGTTCCAAATTGTTAATAACTTTGTCTAGCGTTTGATCGAGCGCAATTAGAGCGGTGTCATTTGCATACTGGAGAATATATGCTTCATGCCTGAAATGGTTGATATTGCCTTGTTGGTGATGATAAACATCAGAGCTGTATAAGTTATATAATATTATATAATAATGGTGAGAGCGGTGAACCCTGTGGAACTCTCCGTTCTGGGATAAATTCGTCTGAAAAACTACTCAATATTTTAACTCTCCGTTTCCTGTCAATTAGCAGATTCCTAATTGTATGTACTAGATAGTTAGGACAACCCAGTTGATGCAGTTTGAATAAAAGAACTTTGTGCCGAATGCTTTGTTCATATCCAGAAAGATCGCTGCCATTTTGTTGTTGTTCAGCTTGGTTGTTTCAATGTTGTTCGTGAGAATCATTAGAGGATGTATAGTAGATCTTCCTTGTCTATATCCAAACTGATAGCTTGGAATTTTATCATTAAGCAGTTGGAGTAAAAGGTTTCGTAAAAGTTTTTCAAAGTTTTTGCCAATTACAGACAGGAGAGTAATCGGACGATAACTGTCTGTAAGGGAGTGATCCTTGTTTGGTTTGGGAATTGTAATTATTGTGCCCATTTTCCAATTGTCAGGTACATAATGAGTTTTAAGGCAAAATTCATAGCTTTTTATGATATACCTACTTGTGAATCTCATAATCCAGCTTTCTCAACATGTTTCTTGTGATATAGTCATGCCCTGGAGCTGAGTTTTTTCCCTGATATAAGATTTCAAAATATTCTTCTTCATCTACTATTTTCAAGTTTCTAAAACACTTGTTTTCTGTAATTGGGAGAACTATCATTGAAGAGAGATTGTATTCGAAATTCAAAATGATTGTGGTATTTCATGTATTACCCGTTTTGGAGCATCTACAAAAACATGATTGAACAGAGATCTGCTATCTCCTCATAACTTGTTATTTCCTAATTGTCGTAGCAGCATGGGAGGCTCGTTTATTATTGAAATTGGTGGTACAATTTTTCTGTCAATCAAGTATGATTATGTGATAATGAGGACAGAGTGGACTACTTCACCCAAACCTTGCTTTCAAACATTCTTTTAGTTCAAGGAGCATTCACCAAGTTTCAGTAAAAAATTATTTCTGATCCAAAGTGGCTGCAATGTATTATAAAATGCTAATTTTGGTGAACAGATACAACGTTTCAGTAGAAACACATACAACGCATGCACAAGGCAGAAATTCAACATATTATCTGCTTGAGAACCAACAAAATAAAAGATCTAGGTATCGAAACTTTTATTGATATTTTTGGACACTGATCAATTAAAGACAGCAAAGATTAAGCACTAATCATATCAATTTGTACCAATTTAAGTATCCAAATGCATTTCTGTGTGATATATTTCACCATCATGATTGAAAATCTCGTAATATTTTGATGATGTGTTGGTTGTGAAAATGGATTTCTAATCTCTAATCAAATAGAATTAGGTTATCAACAAATCAATAATATATATTATATCAACAAAACTGAAAACATTGTTAGCAATGAAGTTAAAAAGCTGTGAAGCTGATATGACAACACAAAATAACAAAATGAATATCAATAACAAAAAACAATCCTGCACTTCAAACCTAAACATGCTGCCATCTATTTAATATCAACATAACTAACGGATTCTGCGTAGGCTCCAGTAACTGAATGAACAAAGTAAAAAAGCACAGGAAACCCTAACGATGTCTAAACTTAGTTGAAATAATCTATGATCATAGACTTTCTGCTTAAACATGAAATATACCTGCCTTTTGAAACGTGTTAGTTTGTTTTGAAGATGCGAACAAATTGTTGTTTTTGTTATTTTAATATCATAGTGTAGCCGACTTTAGAACAGGTTATTGACAATTTGTTGTTAGTTTCCTCAAAACATTTTTCTTCTTTTAGTGTATCAACTGTTTGTGATACACTTGAGTGATTGCCCCTTTTGCATTTTTTATAAATTACTTCTAATAGTTTTCAGTCTCCAATAGTGAAAGATTCATCTATATTAGATTTTCAGTTTATCCCTCATTGGAATTGAAAATGTATGATATAGATAAAAACAGAAGTTAATAATTAATAAATCGGAATACAACAAATTATCCAACTTACTTTTTTGTAGTAATCTTCTTGCCATTTACGAATCTGGTAGAAGTAGACGTTCTCTTTACATTGGCATTGCCAGGAGTTCCACCATTGAATGAGGCGTTGAGAGAACTGAATGAAGTGAATCCACCTGAATGACCAGTATTGAAAAAGTCATCCATGAGGCCTCCACCAATCTGCAGGCCAAACGGACCGAATAAAGATGCGTTGCTAAGAGCGTTTTGGGGATGGGAGTGTCTGTGGTGTCGTCTTCGATCTCTTCCATGCGGGTCTAGATAGAAGAGTTCATCAATACTAATGCACTGCTATGTTTACATTAAATATTGAAATAGGAAAGTGGAATTTCAGGGAAGAACACAGAGTTTACTTTGAAATGCTTGTGTAGTTCCAGGAGGTTTAACTTTTTCTTTTATTGAGATGAATCAATTTGAAACTAACGTGCAAAAACAACAAGAATTGTTATAATTTTTAGCGATATAATATTGACAGCAAATACAAAAAAGTAAACTACCAGCAAAATAATACAAAAAAAACATGTAATACAGCATTTTCAGCATTTTTATCAAGTTGAATTCCCTGACCACTTTGTTCTGTTATTTAGTACCTGTATGTAATAGTTTGATGTGGGGATGCATGCCTATGGGCTTGTATGTGTGTGTGTGTGTGTTTCATTCACTTACCAAGAAGATCAAATACTGAGGCGCCGAAAAATTCTCTGAAAACATCCTCTGGGTCTCTGAAGGAAAAGAATCCGAAACCGCCAAAGTCAAAGTCATCTTCATGTCTGCTTCGTCCACGACTGTTACCATTCAATAAACCATCTTTTCCATATTGGTCATACACTCGCCTCTTTTTCTCTGAAAAACAAAAATGTTACCTTGATTATTTTTCACAGTGAAAGTGAGAAACTCAAAAGTAATGAAGCACATAAAATAACAAAGATTTATTAAACATTTTCAAGTATAAGCTTTCCTTTATCAGCTTTAAAAAAAAGAAAATGATCTTCAAGTTGAATCAAACCCATCAATTTTCAATATTATACAGTTCATATGATATGTAAGCTTGTCGAAAGATTTAACTATTTTATAATAAAACATATTTATTTCATGAATATTTTATGAAAGTTCAATTTACATAAAGAATCTTGTTTCTGTGCAAAAAAGACTCTCAGGTCCTCATGAACTAAATCACTTGAAAAATGGCTTCAAAGGGAATGGGTACAGCGTAGGAAAATTCGAGCAGGCCACAAGACCTAGGAGGGAGAACACCAAAGTAACTCCAGCTATGGTGGTCAAGGGAAAAGCTTTCCTTCTATATGTTGGAAATGTTACAGACCGGATTGGGAGAATCTTAGAGAAACACTACATAAAATCATAATTTAGGCCAACAAAAACTATCAGACAAAGTCTTAAATTAGCTAAGTGCTCCAGAGAACTTGGATAAATCCACAAATCAACTGTAGCCTAACATGCTCTCGACAAAGGAAGCACTAACATTATCTCATTTGAAGATACAGTATTACTCAATAGAACTCAAAATTACTATTCAAGAATATATAGAGAGGCAATGGAAATTCAAAAACACAAGGATAATTTCAATAGAAAAGAAGAGGCAATGAACAATAATAAGATCTGGCTACATGTCCTTAGCGGCACACAAACAAGCTCAGGTAATCCAATTAGGAGAAACAAATCCATGCCATGCCCACTAATAATAATATAAAACAACAACTCGGGCACTGCGACCGTTACCACGTCGCTTTTGATATCTGCCGCATTAGTAGACGAAACGCCAGTAATAAAAATCTGCACACCCCGCCAAAAAACCCAGAAAATAGCTTTCACATAAATTAAGTGATTTAATATTGTTATCTTAGATTATATGACATTAAAGTTTTGAGGTTTTAGTGTTTCCTCTCGTTGATAAAAGCGGTCACGACAAAGAGACAAATTCCAAGGTGATATTTAAATCGGGAAACGAAGCCGTAGTGTGGGTAAAGAAATTTTACAGGACGTCAAAAATTGTGGTTTTCGAATTACCCCTGCAGAAATGGTAGACTCGAATCAGTTCCCACCTGAAGATCCAATTGAGGGGCTAGTGTATCTTGGTAAAAACCTGTTGATTCAACGATAGTACTTCGTATCCAGACGCAAGTTTTATATTTTTAATTTTTCATATACTTCAGATGATGTGGTGCTGCAGGTTTTTCCGGGTTTTCCTGCAGCTGAAAAAGCAAATGCGCCACTGGAATCAATGAAGTCCCCCCGGAGCGCCAATTAATTTTTATCGTTGTTTTCATTTTTAACGTTGTAATATTGAATAGTTACTTCAGTATATGGCCCCTACAAATTTGTCAGTAGAGTATCTGGCAGACACCCTATACAAATTATATCTCGATGTTGATGAATTATTTACCTTACACACTTCTTATTGTCATTATAATTTGTCCTTGGAATCGCGAATTGTTAGGAATAAAAAAGATAACGCAATGATATAAATATTTATATAAAGATGTAGTTCAAAAAATATTGAATCAGTTAATTGTTTGGATAAGATCTAATAACTTAGTCATCTGAATATTGCTTAATAACATCTCACATAGATTTTCACAATACATTAGTCATCTGCTTCCACTGGGAATCAGTCAAATAAAAACTACTATCGAAGTTTCAAGTTTCTCGTATTCTCTGTCATAAAATAATTAATATAAGGACGTAATTACTATTTATAACGGAATAATTCATACATTTCTCAATTAAAAGTAATTTGGATTCATTTGACCTGAACCAAACGACGAACCAGTTTGGCGTCTGATTTTTTAAAAGGTTTTTAAACTAAAGAATAGTGACGACCATGACTTATACAAACGAATGAATTGTCATTTATTTTGTTGTCTCAAATCTTTTCAAGTTCCATTAGTAACCTTTATAGTTTATTTTGGAAGTTTCCTTTTACGGGATCCATTGTAATGAAATGCCTGACCTTAATGATGGATACTTTGACCCCCAAATAGGCCCCCAAAATCGGTTGAATTTATTTCTTGGATATTGATATTTCTAGAGGTGTGACTATTAAGACAGTTTTCACAGTATTCATAAACAATATTGGATCTTCTTGTAGTTATAATAATTTTAGTTCATTTGAAAAAATAGAGGAAATTTCAATATTTTTCTCAAAGATCATTATCTACAAAATTTCTGTTAAACTCATTCTGCACTCTTCAAACTGCAATTATAATTTTCGAAAACTTTTTTGCAGTTTATTTTACTGGATTGGTTTTCTTTGTGTTATGAAAAACCTATTCTATTTTTTCAACTAACACATGATATATAATATCAACTTATGTAATTTTTGTATGAAAACGAGACGAAAAAAATTGATACACAATCTGATTAAAATTAACAAATTGAACTTACATGATGTGTAATGAAAGTAAACAAAGATTAATGAGTCATCTTCATCTAAATGAATTGTGCTCCAGATAATTAGTCTATATTTCTGTGGTTTACTCAGATGATAAATTGTTGTTTTCGATATTTGATAAAAACTATCATTTTTCTGTATCTTTCCCATACTCATTAAGAACATTCATTTATTTCCCACTGGCCAGTGAGATCATACATGTCTATGTTCATTGTAGGACTGCATTTTTTTAGAAATACGAAAAGAGCTGAATGAATGATATTTATCAGTATACAGAATCATTACAATTTTCAATCACACGATAAGAAATAACAGCAAAATCACTTGCTATTTAGAAAAATTTAAACTGCAGCCAAATAAAATTGAACACATCATTCATTTATCGTCTCTTAGCTTTCATAACAAGAAACATTGTCAACTACATATTTCAAAACAAATACAAACATGCCTTCAGTTGATTGCCAGGGCCGCACATGCTCGCTCGCCCCATTCAAACTAATTGTTTTTAATAGACTTTTCTGAATAATAATCTCCCCAAAAATATAACGACTTATTCACGACCGTTTTTTTTTTAGAACAGACGAACATGAAATTAGACTTTAGCTTTGGTTTTAAGTCCGATAGTAACATAAGTCAAATTTAGGCATGAAATTATTTGAATTTGTTTGAAAACATTCTATTTCCTCTTTGAAATAATTTCGTCGATGATGTCACATCTGGTGGGAATCAGATACAGTTGATAATAAAATTGATACTACTCAATTCTCCTACCAGATTTTCGATATGAGTTCTCCATATCAGTTTCTCTTCAATTGTTACACCCAGAAATTTTATGTTTGATACTTGCTCAATTGACCTATGATTTACTTTAACAAGAGGGCTTGCGTCACAGCTGACATTTTTTTGTTGAAAAACCATGAAGAATGTTTTGGAAGCATTTAAAATCAATCCATTATTCAGGCACATTTGAAAGAATTCCTCAGCGCATGAATTACTCAGATGAATGATTTGGTCCAGATAATCTTGTGATATCATATGATTTGTATCGTCGGCATAAATTATGGTTTTTTTGCGGGGAACCACATGATAAAATCATGTCATTAATAAATATGATAAAAAGCAGTGGACCAAGGATTGAGCCTTGTGGTACACCCGTAGAAACATTGGTTGACTTTGATTTGAATGAATTCATCATGACAATCTGACTTCTATTTTGTAAATAGGAAGTGTAAATTCGCTACTCCAATACGGTTTAATTTTTGAAATAGAAGCTCATGATTTACAGTATTGAATGTTCTACTGAGATCAAAATATAGTGCAATAGGATATTCCTTAGTATTCAAGTTAGAATAAATCATATTACATAGTTCGTTCACAGCTGATTAATAAATCAATAATTTATTATTTTTCAAGAAATTTCCTAGACGGAAATTGAAGCAATAATCGATTATTTTTGCTAGTTGAGTTTGTAAGCATACATTCCTGTAGTTGATGTCTTCCCTGTAACCTTTCGTCTTATATATCGGTATTGACTTTGAAACTTTCAATTTGTCAGGATATTTTCCTGTACTGAATGATTCATTGATTATGTGACACAAAGAATAACATACTGTGTCACTAACAGCTCTCAAGCACTTACCATTTATCTCATCAATTTCAGGGGCTTCTTTAGAACACACTTTATGTATTGTCTCTTTTATCTCGAGTGGAGTTGTTGGAGTCATGAAGAAAGTAATGCTTAAGAAATGTTCTAATTTTACCTTATCGAAATTGGGGTCAATCTTCCAAAGAAAGGAAGAAAGCAATTAATTTAAGGATAAACTCTTTAAAAAGATCATGAAAAGTAGTAAATTTCACACAAACTGGAAGAAAAAGCCCTCTCGAAACAACTACTTTCATATAAATATTGAATTACACGAAAGAAAAAATACTTTTATATGAATATCGAATTATACAAAAAACAATTTTTCTTATTCAGTTCAACTTGTATTTATAATCCATTACATACTAATCTCTTTACTTTTGTTTTAATCAATTCAACTGACATGTACAGTGTTTTAAAACATGTATGACTAGTTACCACTCACAAAATATATGAAATTCGAAGAAATTAGAACACGAAGTTCATCAATTGTATAGTAGACATTTCATCTCATATGGGTTATATTGTAGTATTCGAAAAAGGAACTAAAAACTATATTACTTAAAAATAATTGAGTTAATCCAAAAAAAGCTTAAATACGATTGGAAATACCACAAAGTAAATATTTTTTTGAAATCTTTTTCTGGTGTACGTTTCATTTTGATGACGAAGAATTTCACAATCGCTGTCAAAATAAAAAACTGAACAATCAAAACACACATGCACGTTAGAATAGAACAAAATCCAATATATTACAAAAAAGCACGACCTACTATTTTTCTTCTCCGTAGGTTATCTGAAAGGCACATTGTATTAGCGCTTTCTGGGTTAATGGAACTTTGTTATTATTGCGAACAATGTTATCAACAAGCAAACACACTCGTAGAAATACTACATTGATTTATACCAAAATATCGCTGTGAGAAGGGGTTGTAGTCGAAATGATTTCTGTGAGACCTAGATGACTTCGTCGGATTGCTTCGGTTGCACCGGCTGTCGTATATTTTGCGTTTAGAATCTACGAGAAATTGTGGAATTAAAACTTTTTTCAAATTTGAATAACACTACATCGATTTATTGATTCTTTGTAATTTAATTTCCCTAGAAACACAGATGCACATGGATAAAAATAATATTTTCTTGTAAACAAGTAAAAAACTTATAGACTGGAATTTGTGAAATCCCAATGGAATGAGCTGAAAGGTAAAAAAAACGTATTGTAGAATATGTTTTTTTTAAGGACAAAACACAAGCACTACAGGAAAATCCTTGAGGCACTCTCAGAGCGGTGCCTGTGCGAAAGTAGCAATTCACATTGGATTTGAATCGTTGGAGATCAAATTCATTTGGAAAAACGTTGTCAGGAAGTTTATTCCACATAAACGCAGTTCTCCACATGAAATAGTTCCTAAACAGTGAAGTTCGTGGTGTACTGAGTTGAACCTCCAAACGATGAGCAGCCACAGTCCGTCGCATATTTCTGACATGTACCGCTCTTGGTGGAATCAAATGTGCCAAGTCACTTGAACACTTCTCTTGAAAGTATCTATAGAAGAGAGACACATCTCCAACCTTTCTTCGATTTTCCAGACTATCACGGGTGCAAGTGATGTTCGCGTCTTCAATCAGGCTATTTTTTTTTACTTATACAGTCCAACAATGCATTCATGTTTCAGCTTAGTACCACTGAGTAGACCACCTATCAGTGCTGTCTGATGTTGGAATACGTAATATTCGATTCCCATGAATTTAACGAAATATTTTTCCAGGTCTCAATTTAATTATCAAACAAATATCCAAAGAATGATATTTTCAATTGTTACATCAGCAATAAATTTAGTATGTTCGTGTGAATGTTCAAAAAACTCAACTGATTTGAAATCTAAGAGAAAATATAAATTAAGAAGTATTGAAAGTACCAGGACTGGAACATTGGAATGAGTTTGAAAATAATTTCACTAAAGTATGGCAACAATCAAACAATGCAATAATTATTGATGTAACATTCAGCTATTCAAGTTTCTAATCACTCTCATTTTGTTATCAAGTAATGATTTTCTGTTGTCATTCTTTTTTCTTGATGAAGACCATATATAAATGGATAAATATTTCAAAACAAAAAGCCAGTTCAATTACTAAGTTTTGACGTTTGAGAACATATTACTCAAGGCATACTTGCGAGCGAAGATATTGTAAACACAACTTTGAAATGATAAATTTGCTTGTGTTGATCTCATTCTCCTAAAATTTGAAGGTGAGACTAACTTTCTGATAGACGAAGTTACAGAATTCTGATAAGTCATTTTCGTCCTTTCGAAGATACCAAAGAAATAAAATTAAATATTCAATTTTGCTATTTCCTCTTATCTTGGTGAATTTTCTGAGCAACATTGTACAGTTCTCTTTCAAGAACTTTTTATGAGCTTCAAATTGAAAAAGACAAATCCATTTACAGCCAAAGCTCAATTGAATATTGGGAAAAATTGAATTTTAATAAACATTGCATTGCATTATATAAAATTTCATAGTTGAGGGTAATCCAAATCTGTGGAAAAGTTCTACAAACATATTCTAATAGTTTTTCAAAAGCGCTACATTTCAATAGGAAACTTTGCCGCAATTTAACGAAATCTCTACCTTTTACAAGATCCCCATGCAGAGAGTGGAGTTTGAATACTTCTGTATTATACTATTACATGATACTTTTTTCTTATATCCTCGAAAATAAGAAACTTTCAAGTTCAAAGCATATTTCTATTTTTTATGTTGTACATTAGATACAATTTGCTGGCATGAGTCCTTTTTCAGTACATGATATCTGTCCATTTTTCAGATATATTGAATAGATTATGCCAAAAAGTATTCTGCCTTTGCATTAATTTTTGTAATGGATCAGTTTCCCCATTTTTGTACAAAACTCCTTACCTTCGGAGTCAAGATTTCTCCTTACCATCATTTGCTTGCAATCGAATATGATAAATATGATAAAAATATATGAACTTACCATCTGATAATACTTCATATGCTTCAGAAATTTCTTTGAACCTTTTAGTTGCGTCATCCATATTATCAGGATTTTTATCTGGATGCCATTTCAATGCCAATTTTCGATACCTGCAATCAAATTTAATTAGTGAATTTTTTCCACCGACAGGTAAGCTTTAAAAATAACAATCAGCAATAAAGATAATTTCATTTGAGAAGGTCGGGAGGGAGGCAAAGACTGAGATCAAATATTTTCCTGATTGACTTGGCCGTTACTTGAAGATCCATAGTAATTTCACAAACTATACCGGAATAGATTTGATCTGCACAAACTTTATTTCCAAAATATCACATGTTTCGATACCACAGTTACTTTTTCTACAACACTACAATAAAATATGTCGTATTGAATAAGAAAAATAATAATAATAAATAAAAAAGTGCTACAAGAGGTTAGAGAGCTTCGAAAAGAAAACAGTTATCTGAAACAAATAACAACACAATTGGATGATAGGGTTAATTATCTGAAGTGTAAAGAATATGCCTGTAACCTGGAAATCCATGGGACACAGGCAGAATCTGATCCTATGAAAGTAATGAAGGAAATCGCTAATGACTTATTAGAATGTCAACTAAAAAACGAAGATATAACAGGGTGTTACATAAAGAAAACAAGAAAAGGAAACATACTTCTTGCAAATTTTTCACACTGTGAAATAAAACGTTAAGTCCTAGCAAATAGAAAGAAACGCAGCCTTGATTCTGCAATTTTAAAAACGAACAAGAATAATACCGAAGCAAAAACCAAAATATTCATTAATGAACAGTTGACAACTCGCAACAGAAAACTGTTCAATATGGCATACAAGTATGAGAGAGAGAAGGAGTACAAGTTTTTATGGACCAAAGATGGAAAAGTTCTCATTAGAAAGGATGAGAATGCACCAGTAATTTGCATAAATAGTGAGGATGATATATGTAAACTCAATTAAAATGGCAGAAATACTCAAACCAAGGACTAGTTTTTATAATAACATTAAGGAATATGTTAACAATAATGGGGACAATAAAAACTTTACTGTTTTGTATCTGAACACAGGGTCAATAAAAAATAAAATGGAAGAGCTAGAAATACTGATTAACAATTCTGTTCATCCTGATACTGTGATTATAAGTGAATCCTGGCTAAAACCAGCTGATGAAAAATTTTATAATATACCAGGATATTAAGCTATATTTGTTAGCAGAGACAAACGATGAGGAGGAGTTGAAATCTTGATTAGAGACAACTACAGAGAAATACCTAGACAAGAAGATAATTGCTCAATATTATTCATTCATATAGAGAAAGTAAACTTAATTCTGTGTGGGATATACCGACCAACAGATTATAATCTTGAAATGTTTATCAATTCTCTGGAAGAAAAACTGGAACTCATAAATAATGGAAACAAAAAATGCTATATAATGAGAGATCTAAATATTGACTTCTTAACAAATAATGTTCAAAAGGAAAACTTAGATACAATGCTTGAAGCGAATGGTTTGAAAAAATTGAACAGCACAATACCAGCAAGAGTGACCGCGACAAAGACCCACCGTTAAAAATTCTAAACATATAAAAATGTTATATATGTGAAATATAACAGAAACATTAATGACAATATTCTTATGAGATATCTTCTAAAAAGAATTCATCTGTTGAATAAAAACATCTTGTAACAAGTCATTTTTTGAGTTGCTTTCTGAAAGTCAATAACGAAGAACAGTTTTTCAATTCATTTGGTAATTTATTAAATGCACGTAAGCCATCATTAGCCGTAGAGCAGACATGTACTCTACTTTTACAAAATCGGTATATGGAAGTGATTTTGAGAACGAGTATTTACTTGATGTATATCAGAATTCTTCACAAAACTATCTCTATTCTTGAAAATATAGAAACACAATTCAAAAATAAATATTTTTGATGTATATTCTTATATAAAGATGGAATTGTTAAGATTTCATTTTTGCTGAAAAAACTTTCACAGCTCTTGGTACTAGGCACATTCATGATGCAGTTGATAATTTTTTTTGTGCAATGATAACTTCTTTAGACGTGGTTGATATCCCCAGAAACAAACACCATCGCGCATACGACTCTCCACTTGCCCGTAATATACCATCAGCAACTGAGATATATTTCAACATTTGTTATTGCAATTCAATTCAATAAAGCATATTTTAAATTTTCGAAACTTCATCATATGTAATAATTTTTAAAAATTTAATTTTATAGGTAGAAATCAAGTGTAGAATTAGTTAGTTGAAATAACTAAATGTGTAAAGAGTATGTTTCTTCAAAGTAATAATGAATAACTTTATTGCACATGATATTAATTACATCAGTGTACAAAATAGAATTGTGACAAAAAAATGATTCAAAACATCTTAGATGAATTAAGTTCAATGAGTTGAAACCAAAAACAGATGTATTGTGTTTACTCATGGGCAGATTATGTTCTCATAATCAAAACAATTCAGATGACTGATTGTTAAGTGTTAAGTTATTCGTCATTATATGTTTATAAAAATAATAATATATATGATTCTGAAGTTCGAATATTTATTTGAAGGTGGTTGACAATATTTGATCCACATGAGAATTTCTGTATAGTGAAATTTATTATTCATGTAAATTGGTTCAATTTTCATTCATGCATGTTTGATATGCTTAGATACTCAGATCCATAAAGTATTCTTCGATCAATATTGTTTCATTCAGGAATAAATGTTGTTTATTTATGTAGATAGGTTAGAGTTAAATTTAGAACTGGTCTGTCGGGCTCATGTGCTATGTTGAACTCAATGTCGCCCTTTTTAACTTATTGCCTTGCTAAATTCATATGAGAGATACAATTAAGACAAATTCGATATTCCGAGATATTTGTAAGTTACTCTGTTGTAAGACATTTGACAAACCAAAAGCAACTTTGGTTTGACTAAGTCAAAGTTCTCATCGATTTTATAAAAATATAAATGGCAAATATAATCATTATTCTATGTTAAACAATCGCTTGAACACATTACAAAAAAATAAATACAAATATTAACAAAAATATGAACAAAAATATTAATGTGAATCAGCACTTCAGTGAAAACTGTGTAAATATTAATCATTTCTGTTTAAAAAAAATATGTTTTTCCGTTAACCAGCTGTCGCACCCCTGCGAACGACAACCCCCAGAAGTCGAAACTTGTGCGAGCTAAGAATTAACGAGTTCTTACCTTTTAACGTGTGATTCCTAACACGGGTTGGACGATAGCAAGTGAAAATTGATCGTTCTGCCTGCGGCTTGAACCACCGAACAACACAGCAGTCAATTCGAGTGAGTGAACAAAGCACCCACGTCGAACCGCCTGGCTACCGACCGACTGAAAGTAGTACAAGGTCTGTTAAAAGAAAATTAGGTGAATTTTCGTTTTTCTCCAAAAATATTTATTCATCCATCAATTTCTATTATGCCCTTCAAAGTAGTCTCCCTCAGATATAATACACAATTATGATATGCATTTTTTGGTATGTCCTTGAACTCTCTCAGCGATTCGGTTTTTATCTCCTCAATCGTCGCAAAACGCCGTCCTTTCAGGGGTCTCTTCAAACTTAGTCGCAGGGGGGCAAATCTGGTGAATACGGTGGCTGAGGCATGATTACTGTGTTGTGAGCTTGAAGTGTTTTTCCACAATACCGGACGTTTTCTTCGTATTGCTTCTCGCAGGCAGCGCATAACTTCAAAATAATACTTATTATTGACCATACGACCGTGTGGCAAGAACTCCTGATGCACTGTGCCACGTTAATTGAAGGAAATATTAAGCAAAACCTTGACATTTGATTGAACTTGGCTTGCTTTTTTTTGTCTTGGCTCTTCTGGGATTTTCCATTAGAACCATTGGACTTTGGTTTCGATGTCATAACCATATACCCATGATTCGTCACCAGTTATGACCTTTTAAGCAAATCTACATCGCCGTTGACGTCATTCAATAATTCCTGGTCAAAATTCAGCAAATATCTCAACATGTTTATCTTCTCGACTTTCTGTAAACATTTTTCTGACTCAGAGTACAATCACCGTATGCCACTGTCCACATTTCAAGTGTTTTTTGAGCACTCAATTCCATTTTTCACACAAATCCAAATTTTTTTATCCGTTTTTTTCTATAGCAGAAAATCGCCGGACAGACAAAACACTTCCAACTTATAAGCCTCTCACCACCAAACTAAACATGCCAAACAGCTGAAACTGTGAACATATGTTTGAGACGAGTGTACCAACATAAAAAAAATCACTAATTGAATATACGTAGCCCGCGAAATTTGAATATTCACCTCATTTTTACAACAGACCTGGTACATAAAAATGTCTACTAGTCAAGAAACGTTAGCTACTTCAAAATATTTTATAGAACATTTTTACATACTACATCAAACTTTCATTGAAATAGTAGAAAACAAAAGAAAAAAGTTGAATTTTCAGTCATTTGATAATTTAATTGCAGAGTAGAATGCCTTTTCTACGCAAGCTTTCACACACTCGTACTAAGAAAAAATCATTGAAACTGTTTCCATTGCCTAATTTGTTTTTAAAATGGTTATAGAATAACCTAAATAATATGAGAAGCCTGACCAACCCCGAGTATTGAAATTGGTTGATATGTTTTCTGTCTCTCAAACACTATAATTATAGTAAAAACTATTTGTGAATATTATCCCCCAAATGTTTTTATTACTACCAGTTCGATTGAATAAGCTACTGTATAGCGAAACACGCCTTTAGTAAAATAGCTAGTGTGAAAATTGTTTCATTATCATGAATAGTGCTTTAATTTTCCTCAAGTAACAAGATCAGTGTATTAAAAATTGTTTTGATTCATTTTGAAATGTGTACAAGATTAGTACAATTAAAATAGATAAATCAATAACTCTTTTTACTATTTCATTTGCTCCCTTTATGTATTTTACAATTTGTTTGTCTTGCAATTATTTTTTCTGGGTGACTTGAGTTTATCCAAAATATCAACCCATATGAAATATTTGACTACATAAAATCATAGTAAATTAACAACAGCGCATCTATTATCAC